GTTGGATTCAGTTAAGTTCTAAGTTACGTAAAAGTTATAATGTATCTTATTTCAGCATAATTACGTAAGACTATGCATCATCTTCTTTTGCCTATAATTTTCAAACTCTTTGTTATTCCGTTACCGACCTTTATAAACTAACTGATGAAAAAAGTGATTAAAATGTATATTAAAAAGGCTCATAGTATTGAAAAAGCTAAAGTATTAAAAGGCAAAGTATTAAAAAGGCTCATAGAAAAGTTAAATTAAAGTTAAAAAGTTTAAAGGCTCATAGGAAAGTAGATTAGGAAACTACCAGTTAATTTCACTAAGATATATATTACTTCCATGTATGAGCGCAGAATAAAAAATGTTCATAACATAAACTCCATGAAGTGGAAATTTGGTGCTCAAAATGGAGAATCAAGCTTCATCCTGATAAGAGCAATAATCATCATTAATGGCAAGAAGTGCAAAAATAAGATACCAACGATCGAATTATTTAACACTAAAATCACCCCAGTTAAACAAGCTAAGTATCTTGGCATTACAATTTCGAACAATCTTAACTGGAGTACTCATATCAATGAGTCTATTAGAAAAGCCAGAGGTGATATTCTACGCACCAAAAGCACTTTTAAATAAAAATTCAAAGCTAAACCTGGCAAATAAAAGAACAATATACTTACAAGCCATTCGACCAATTCTTACCTACACAGGCTCCGCCCTAACCACTATCAGTGATAATTTAAAGAAAAAATTGTCATACACAGAAGGCAAATTTTTAAGATACATGACTGGTGCCTTAAGAGTTATCAGCAACAGACTGTTAAGGAAGGATCTAGACATAGAAGAAATTAACTGCTTCATTGCCAAACTCAACAATAAATTCTATAGCGACGCTAGAAACTGTACGGCCTCGAATTTCAATCATTTGCTAGACATCAGCTTAATACACGACAACATTAAATATAGCCCAATAAGCGCACTCCTCATGTCAGATTGTATCATATCAAAATATTACAAATGATAGTATCACTGTTTTTTTTTTTAACTCTTATGTACTATTGACCCTGGGGATCTCCCCCGTTAATTTTGTACCAGTATAAGCTTATTCCTTTATGACTTTTGAGCATCGAACAAACCAGTATAAGATGAATCGGTTTGTGGTCTCTACGCGCCAAATACCGAGGTACCCTACATATCCAGCAATAAAAAATGGAACAGTCTGAATCATTTTTAATCTAATGATTGGAATTTCATGTAATAGGACTCTCTTCAAATATTCTAGTTAATTAGTGAAGACAATATTTTAAGTTACGAAACCAGACACAAAACCGTACTTTCTCTGAATAAACATTCCTTTAGTTCGATTGATTCGGATTCTTGACTCCCAAAATATGGGTGGGGGTAGATGCAGTCTGAAAAATATGGTCCCTATAGTTTTGTTCCAAAAGGAGGGCGGTCGAAGTTTAGATGTCTCAACACTATTATTACTTTTTATATACACAGAAGAGCCATTACATTATAACCACCCTCCATCTATAACAATGGGCTCGCCCAGGTTTTCATGGTTTCTCGCCCAGGAACAATGTTTTCATGGGACACATTAGGATCCATAATCCTTATATAACAATCCCTGACGTCTGTAAGCTACTTGAACATAGTTGTAGACCTGGTTCACCCATTCATGGCAAACAGTTTTTCCTGCGGGGGATGGTGTTTACCAACAGGATAATGCACCATGTCATAAGGGTCGAATAGTCGAGGAACATTCCAGTGACTTTCAAGTCATGTCTTGGTCCCCAAATTCACCCGACCTTAATCCAATAGAGCATTTGTGTTCCTACTTGGAAAACCAAATTCATGCTGCCACGCTACCCCCTCGCAATGTGAGGGAATTGCAGGACCAGTTGGTGAGAGCTTGATACCAGATACCTCATACTACCTATCAGCACCTTGCGGGATCAATGCCACGGCGGTTGCTAGCAGTTTTGAGGGCTAAAGGTGGTCGTACATGTTATTATCGGGGTGGTCATAATGTAATGACTCTTCGGTGTATTTCGCCTTATATCGAGAACTTTTAACTTTTGTACACAATTATAAAATTCATTAAATAGTTCTATTCAGAAAATGATTTAGAATTATAAATTTTTATTTCGTAGCATTTTACTTAATTATGATCGAAAATTTTTTCAATTGTAAGGTATACACTTTATTTACATCATTTTAGAGAATATAACTTTAAATGAGAGAATACAAACTTTAAAACGAAATCTGCCGAATTGTTCTTGAGAAATCAAATTTTAAATGAATGCATTTTTTAAAAAATTTGATTTCTCGAAAACTATGCGACACATTTCGTCCAATTTTTTGTATTTCGTCATTTAAAATTTCATTAATCCATAAGTCAATACTAACATTTCAATTTTTTTTTTGACCGTTATTGAAAAAAATGTTAAAAAATAAGAAATAATTATCCTCTTGAATAGTACTATTTTTGACTAAATAAACTTTGTAATTGTGTATAAAATGTTTTTGATTCGCTTAAAAAGCTCTCGAAATACAGCGAAATACATAAAGGTCCAAACTTTGAAATTAACATTAAGTGGTCAAAAATTTTAACTACTCTTTTGACAAAACTATTGGGACCATATTTTAGATATTTTGAAAATCAAGAATCCGAATCCATCGAAAAAAAAGGTAGGTTTATTTAAAAAAAAGTTTTTGCGTATGATATCGTAAATTAAAATATTGTTTACTCTAATTAATTACAATATATGAGGTCAGGTCGTCAAACTATTAAGATTGAGTCCTAGTATGTCAAAATCTGATTAATAGATCAAAAGTTATTCAAGGTGTTTTTTACGCCCTGTACGAAGTCTTACTTTTTGTAATGCAGTATGCTAGGCATTTCCCTCCTTTCTTTCAATGCATTTTTGGAATCATTACTGTAAATAAGTTCGAAATTGTTAAACCTAAAATTAAACTGATTTATACCAATTAAAATTGATCTTGATCATTATTTTTCACAATAAACCTTTACTGGCAAGCTGAGTACACCAATCCTTTTTTTATTCAATTGAATTGTGACTAATAGGATTTCCTTATGCTCTTATCCGGCAAATAAAGATGGATTATTTTCAAATTAATTTTTTTTCTTAGTAAATTAAGTTAGTTTTTTTGCTCCTATAAAGTTGACTGAAATTGTGAACTTCTGAAGGTTTTCCTTCAGTGACTTTTGCCATCTCTCTATCTTAGAAATAGCAAAATGTCACACAATTTCAGTATCGAAAGGGTCTCTTAATATATATATTTTTCTGAATATTTCAAAAATGTTAGAGACCTTAAAAACGTTTTTTGCAATAACAGCATAAGATTTCGCAAACCTAGTTTAAATATTTATGGAGATATGGATATTTTTATGTAAAAAAACTATTTTGTCTTAAGCATTTTGGTTATAACTTTAAAAATATACATTACAAATAAAAGAGCAATTTGAATTTAGAGCAATTTGAAATTATTTACGAAATTATTACTTTAAAATTTGAAAATAATTCCTTTAAAGCTGCGTAAAATATGAGTATTTAAAGTGATTATTTTAAACTGCGCATGCGCGGAAAATTAAAAATTACATATTTTTTTCTTCATAATTTTGAAGTGAATTGTATTTGCTAAATTAGTAAAGAAAAGTCTGACTTAAATATAAATGTTTCAAGCAATTTTCTAAATGGTCTTTACTCTTTAAAAAAAGCATAAAACGTTAAGGGTTTTTTCCACAACTTTCATTTTGTATTATAAAACGAGATTTATTAAAAATGACCCCGGTAATAACAACCATTTGTGAAAAACCCCTAATCCTTTTGTACTTTCTTTTAAAAAGTGCAAAAACTATTTAGAAAATTGCTTGAAATTTTTTAAATTTTCGAGATATTCAAAACAGACTTTTTTCAATGGTTGCCAAGTACGATTCACGACAAAATTATGAAAAAGAATTTAAAAAACATTCTTTCAGCGCTTGCACAGTAGATAAAAAAATTTTCAATGCTTTTTTTTTTTGCTCAGTTTTTCTTGAATTTATTTCAAATTTTAAAACAATAATTTTGCAAATAATTTATAATTGCTCCAAAAATTTTTTATGGATATAATTTTAAAGTTATAGAAAAATTACGAAAGACAAAAAAAATTAACTTTTATAAAAATGTTCATATTTCCGTAACTAATTGAGCTAAGTGTACAAAATTTTGTGCTGTCACTGCAAATAACATTCAATACGATATATATGCATAAAATATATATACAATCATATGGCAAAATATAAAAATATGCTCATAGTTTATTATGAAATTTTAAATTTGAATTTTACTACCACTTTGGAAAACCATTTTTAGAAAGAGGTTGACAGGTATGGGAGAGAGAAATTTACGGAAAATGACTTTTTCGCATCAAGGTTTCAAAATCAGTTAAAAGTTTATGTGCATATGGCTTTGCAAACTGAGAAAAACAATAAAATAATGTTTTCAAAATAACCATGCTACAACAGCGTTGTTAAGTCCGAGAACAAAACCATTAAACGCCCATGCAAATATTTCAGATAGACGCGTGACAGAAAACTATATTTTTTAGTTTTATCAACCAGCAATGGTGATACACTTGTAATTAATTTCGAAATTTGGGGATAATGAAACATCTAGCTTCTTCAGTAGAATCAGTAATTTTGACCTCTTTCCTTGTTCTATTGGTTTTTGCAAATCCTTAGCCATTTTGGGATTCCTGATAAAAAAAAAATTTAAAAAGTTGATTAGGTAAGATTCTGAACAATTGACTAAGCGTTTTTCTTTGTCTATCCTTTGGTATAATTTTTCTTAGTATCTGCATAAGTACCTTTTAGTATCTGCAAAGGTTTTTGCAAATTCTTATCCATTTTGGGACTCCTGATTAAAAAAAAAGCGAATAGGTAATGGTTTGAAGAAATGACTAGATGGTTTTCTTTATGTAATATTTATTTTCAAGATACGATATCCATGTAGCGACTTTTTCAAAATGAACTATAGCATCCATGTAGGACCTTTTTCAATATTGTCTCCCTCAGCCAAAGAGGTTGAACTTTCCTCATCCTCATACTGATCCGAATCCAGAATAATCAAATCATCATCTGATAAATCATCATCGATTTCCTGAATCTCGGTGTCATAAATGGCATTTTCAAGTCTGGTTAAGGCCAAAAGATGAAAAGGTAGACCTACAACTAGGGCCAGTCCAAAGAGAGCAATCGCTGTGCTCTGCTTCCATTCCTGAAAAAAATACGTTTAAATAATGAATTATGTAATTAAGATTGCTTTCATAAATATAGAGCTTTCCAATCTTTATTAACTCTTTGGGAGTGATTCGTAATTTATTCGTAATTGCTTTCATACATATAGAGCTTTCCAATCTATATTAACCCGTTGGGAGCGACTCGTAATTTAAGGAAATTCTAGTCAGGTTATGCGAGCCTCTTAAAAGCGCTCGTATTGTGGTATAGCAATGCGAAGTACAATACAGAAAGCATTAGGGTCGGGATAGCCTGGTTGGTAAGGCACTGGGCCCATGTCCATGAGTTCGTGGGTTCGATCCTACCCGGCAGAAGAGTTCCCGAGTAGTAAATGGTGACTGACGCACGCTAAGTCTGTCGAGTCGAAAAGTCCTCCATGTTCCCATAACAAATCAATACCTCTGGGGGTTGATCCAGGAGTTTCCTTGTCTTCTGGATTGGTTCAAAATTAAAAGGCTACGGAGTCTGTTCAAAGACGGATATGAAATAAAATACTAACAGATTAACTAAAGAAAAAATTTGATTTTTGATAAATAAAAACTAAGTTAAGCTTAAATCAATTTTCAGTAATTACATAAGACGATGTAATTTTTTTTTTAGTTTCTCTTCATATTTTACACTATCAATCACTGATGACTGACTCGGCCTAAACGAAAAGTTCAGTGTCAGTCAACGATAACTTACTTGAGAAACAGCGTGTTAATTGTGGTCCAAAAAGGCCATATAATCTCCAAGACCCAAACATCTACTTTGAAATTGACTTAAATAAAAAACATTATTTAAAGGAATTAAAATGCCTCATTTCATTTCAGTAAATTCATGAGGCATTCAGTAAGTGCCTCATGATATTTCATAAAATGCCTCAAACTTCTGTTATTGTTTAATTTGTTTTAATATTTTGAAGCAAAAAGTTTTATTGCTTAGAATTAATTGAAAATTCCTCTTTTTATTGAAAAAGAAATTGATCAAAACACGTTCTAGTAGAATGTTATTTATTGACGTTGATTCAATTTTTCTGGTTAGTTTTCGCCCTCAGACTTTTTTAAAGTAATAGGGCGATTTGTTACTTTTAAAAACAGTATAATTATGCGTCTACATTCATTTTAATGATTAAGAAACGGCAACTAGCGCATATTGATTTCAATATCAAGATGGAATTTTCACCACTTTCATGCATAATGATAACGATATGTACACGATTGGATGAGTTAAACTCAATCAATCTTTTTTATAAATTATTTTTTTATAATTACTGTATGTTTATTTCCATCATCTTATCGTTCATTACATTTATTTTTACTTTTTAAATACCAAAAGTAAAAGCTAAGGATGACTTACCTTTAGATCAAGATCAAGACAAACTTCACCATTTTGAAACAACATAGTGATTACAATCGCCAAACCAGCCAGGCATGGAACAAGGAAAATGTGCAAGCTTATAAAGCCATTCCAGACACAATATGCGAGGTAATTTTCACGCTTTAGTAGGAAATAGAAAAATATTTACTTAGTCTTATGCATTTCAAGCTCATTTTTACTCTCAAACGCACACGCAGTATTTTAATTACCAGTACCTAATACTTTAGAAACTACTCTCCAGTACTCTACATAAAACTGTGACGTATTGCTCATTCAAATCCGTTTGGCAGAAATGGAGCTATGAGTCTCTCAGAACGGTCAGTTTAATTTTAACTATGTGTAAATAATTATTGCTATCAAAAATAATAATTCAAATCACCCATTCCTTTCAAAGAAGTTTGACTTAGTTCATCATGGTTTGCTTAAGTTATTAATCAAATGTTTAATCATAATAGGTATTAACTTAGTAACCAACAAGCAAACTAATTAACTTATTAATTTCATCTTTAGAAATATTGTACATATACATCTTAAATTAATGATTTATGATTCATGTCCAATTTATCTTACTGTAATTATAAATTTTAGTCTTGCGGAGTATCAAAACTGGTGGTGGCTACTTTGCACCGAGTAGTGTAAAATAGCATTATGCAGTGAAGCACCCAGATGCAAGGGTTGTATGGTGCTTCACCACATCCCTTTGGTATAAGGTAGTTGCCAACATTTTAAGAGTTAAGATATACGAAATATTTTTTCACAATGTACTGTTCATAGTTCTGTTTTCGAACTCGTGTGTTCATTTATTTTTTCTTGTACTAGTCTTACATACCTTACGTAAAACGATCATGGCCATCTATTTTCTCAAATCTTCTATTCTCTTCAAATATTCTCCTTCTATTCTATTCCTGCATCTATTTTCTTCAAATATTTTCCTTCTTTGTTTAAAGAATATTTTTCCTTTAGTTTTTAACTGATGTCGCAACGTTATTTTTCTGTCAACTAGTTTTTGCAATCCTGCATTCGAATCCACGAGCCTTTACTTTTTTTTTGTGCGTGTAGAGATTGGCTGTAAGTGAAACAACCCTACCAACAATTTTACCTTGGCCTCAATCGAGCTCAAAATTGCCTCGATTTATAAGAACATGCACCGAGGGACCAATATTGGGATGTCCAGATTTTTTAATATTGATACTAGAATATCTTTTAATATTGAACCATAACAATTCTATGTAGGGCTGATATTGAAGTGAATAATTTCATGCAGAGCTGATATTGGCTAAATATTAAATATCAAATTTTAGTTTAATTTAACAATTTTGTCAATATTAATGAATATTGGTGCTAGAGAAACAGAAGTAAATATTTTATTTTTTATCTTTGAGACCTAGTAGTTTTTTCAAGTCGAGAAGTATCAAAAACACTTGAATGGAACTTTTAAAAAAATTATTTTTTCCCAACGAACTTGAAAAAGTAAGGGACAAATTGTCTGCCCAAAAAGTATCAAGCATGAAATATTTATTAATCGTACCTTTTGAGCAATGAGTCTCGATTTTCTGGCCTTAATCATAAGTCTATCAAAGACAATTTCAGAAATTTGTTCATGAGAAATTGGCGATGGAACTGTATCCTTGTTTTCGGTTTCAGATGGATTATCATGCTCATCTAATACAGAAAAACATTCATCTGTAAAAATGTTGAAAATCAAACTGTTTAAATTAAGATAAAATAAACGTAATAATAATTAAACAAGCTAAAAATATAAACACGGTTAAAAAGTTTAACATTGTTTCTCGAATCTCGGTCACTGAAGAAAATAAAAAAGTCACGATTTAAGTACCTTACACTTGAAGCAAAGCGATGATCTTACACTATATCATCTTGAACAGAAGAGTTATCTGGGCCTTCAAACGGACAAATAACTTAAATATTTTTACATTTTTTCTAATTCAGAAATTTAATTTTAATAAAAATATATATGTATATTTTTTACTTATCTTTTTCCTGCTTTTTTTAACTAAATTTTTACATTGACGGAAGGAAGAATTAATACAATATCTTTTGGCAAATCAGAATATTAGGGTTGCTGGAAGGTAAATTTGGCTAAGCTAAATTATCTTTTCATATTTGTTGGTTAGCTTGACTGAAGCCTTATAAAAGATCTTTAACATATTAAATCGTAAATTTAGTTTCTTCCTTAGCAAATAAGAGTTAAAATCTTATTTAAGTAGTGATTATATTTCCAGTACTATTTTAAATAAAATCACATATGTTAATTTGACATAAGTGTATTTATCATAAATTACATTGGAAAAAAAGCACTTTTCCGTTAGCCTCGAGAAAGGCAAAATTCCGTATCGGAACCTGAAAGCAAAGGGTCGCCAAGTTTGGCGAAAGCTGCGAGTCAGTGCGTTAACTAATATATATTTATATATATCAGTTACTAGTCCTAGTCCTAGTGTTTTGAATTTATTGGGCAGCTGGGCCGCGAAGCGACCCCTATCCCATTCATCTGGAATTTTAGAACACTTTTGGTTGAGCAATGAGGTAAGCAGGCAATGGAGTTGCTTTTATGAGTATATCAGTTACTACTACACACCAACTACTAAACTTTTTGAAAAATATTTTATAGAGTGGTAGGCTATTGAAAATGATTTTTTGACTGAGTTTTTGGTAATTTTGCAAACATTTTAATTGTTCTCCACGAGAGAGCTAACACTAGTGGTTTTGTGTTTCACATGAGCCTTAGCTACAAGCATCAAAAATTTTCCGGGGTGGGACAGTTTCGTCTGTGAAATTTCAGTTGGCACATTGTCTTTATTGAAAATACGAATCCACCAAGATCAAATATTCTGATGCTCTGCTAGCGGAAAAGAATATGATTACACATGATTTAAATACATATTTCGTTGATATATTAAATTTTATTAGCTGAACAATATTCACTTTGTCATTTGTGAGATTGTGCGTAAATTCAACGCTTCGGTTGAAATCAAATCACTTTACTGTTATTCTTAGAAAGTTTAGTTTTTTTATAGTTCGACATTAATTTTATACACAATAAACTTTTAATATCATGTTTTAAGTGGTACAATTAATTTTACAAAAAATGAGATTTATATGTAGGTTTGTAAACGTTTAATAACAGCTGATGAACTAATTATTTATTTAGAGAATGTCCCCTCTATATTGAATATCACCGCTTTTGTCTAATACCAATTTAAAGAATAAATACCAAAATTTTTGATTAAAAATGTTTTTTTTTTTAAAATTATACACAATAGTTTGTATCACTCATATCAACTTATTTACAAGTTTCATATCAACTTATTTACAAGTTTGAAATATATTCCATTTAAGGCAGTGTTCCTTAACCTTTTTGATATAATGGACCCCTTTTAAAAAAATTTAAGAAGTCACGGACCACCCCCCTGTGAAAAAAATACTTGCAAAAAACATCAATTATTAGAAAACATTTAATTTTATTATTTTAATAGTATACAAAATTTTTAAAATTAAAATTTTTAATGTGAAGTTTGCTGCTGCTTTTCCTTAATTAATAAATTGCATTGGGGGATGATTTTTGACAAAGCAACGTGCATATCATGTTCAACATTCAATCGATTTCGATGTTATGTTTTTATTGTCACAATTTTGGAAAATCCCGCTTCGCAAGGATACACTGTAGCAAATGGAATTATAGCTGCCATAGCTCGCTTTACCAGCAATGAGTAGGTTTTCAAACGTTTTAAAAATTAGTAGTCAGCGGACCCCCAAATTATAACTCATGGACCCCTTAGGGGTTCATGAACCCACAGGTTAAGAAACCCTGATCTAAGGTAATGTCATTATGAAGTCTCTGACGTTTATTTGTATTTTAAAGTTCTCCATGGATAATCACGAAGTTGGTCACCGGGATGAGAGATTTTGTTTCATTTATGTCAATCAGCACAGAAATNTATATATATATATCCCCAACTACTACACTTTTTGAAAAATGTTTAATGGTTCTCCACGAGAGAGCTAGAACAGTAGTGGGTAACACAAATCAAATTTCACAGATGAAACTGTGAAATTTCAGTTGGCACATTGTCTTTATTCTCCAGCACGACTCCAGCAAGATCAAATATTCTGATCCTCTGCTAACGGAAAGGAATACGATAACACATGGTTTAAATATTTCGTTGAACTATATTAAATTTTATTAGCTGAACAATATTCACTTTGTCATTTGTGAGATTGTGCGTAAATTCAACTCTTCTGTTGAAATCAAATCACTCTACTATTATTCTTAGAAAGTTTAGTTTTTTTACAGTTCGACATTAATTTTATACAAAATAAACTTTTTATATCATGTTTTAAGTGATACAATTAATTTTACAAAAAATAAGATTTATATGTAGGTTTGTAAACGTTTAATAACAGCTGATGAACTAATTATTTACTTAGAGAATGTCTCCTCTATACTGAATAGCACCGCCTTAGTCTGATACCAATTTAAAGAATAAATACCAAAATTTTTGATTAAATATTTTTAAAAAATATACACAATAGTTTGTATCACTCATATAAACTTATTTGCAAGTTTGAAATATATTCCATCTAAGGAAATGTCATTATGAAGTCTCTGACGTTTATTTGTATTTTAAAGTTCTCCATGGATAATCACGAAGTTGGTCACCGGGATGAGAGATTTTGTTTCATTTATGTCAATCAGCACAGAAATCTCTAAATAATGTTGATATCTTCTTTTTTCAGTGCATGCATTGCCATATTTACGTAATTTCCTTGTTTCATTTTTACATAAAATGCATTTTATTTAGCTAATAATTTTCTTTCGTGTTTTAATTATGTCTTGTTTTCGACATCATTTTAGTTGGCACGGCGTTGCAAGTAGACGAAATAGGCGCCAAAAAAGTCGCTACGAGACACCTCTTAAAATATTTTCACCAACCGGCCTATAACTTTTAACAATTAAGATGGAAGATAACTTACATAATCTTTACTTAAAATGATTTGATTTTATAATGTCTCTATAGATTTGTTTAGATTTTAAAGTAAGTGTTAATAATTGTTTAATGTAATCGCTTAAGCCTACAATTAAAAGCGGAGATATTTCCGTATCGTGATCTTGCACGCCAACTGCAATCGTCAAGGTGCCAAATTGATTTTAAACGGGAAATTTTTTTAATAAAAAAGAAAAAGAAAAAAAAACGTGTAGAGATTTTCCCGAGGGTGGCTACGAGTAATAACTCTTCGAGTTGGTCCGTTTCTGTAATGTTTTTTTTTAGTTCCACTCGGGCAGCTGACTGGAAGTTGCCAAGACTTGGCGGCAATTCTTCAACAGATCATGATACGGAAATCTCCTCTTAAAAGCGATACATTTCAAAATTACCATTAGTTTCAGGAGATTTTTTCCAAACACTTGAATCTTCACCTTCAGTTTGATCAGATAAAATTGTCTGTTGATTTTGGTTGGTCAAAAGGGACATAATCGACGAAATAAGGTAATTTAGAGGCATAAACTTAAACAACATTCGATATGATTCTTTTAATGTTTATATTTTATCGACGTCATTAGTGGATTTGAATGATAAATATATAACTTTCACGCTCATTACTGTTCTCAAAATGTGAGGCCCATCAATTAGCGGCAAATAAGAAGCAAGAAAAATGAAGATCATTTTCATGACGCACAGGAAATAACTCCAAAACACGTGTTTTTGAGTTGTGCCACTATTGCAGCCCATGAGCGAAGCATTATACAGAAAATTTGTTTCCTAATGTCATTCATTAGCAATTTTATTACTTTTAAATATTTTTAACTGTCATTGAATGTAATATTTCAAACATAAGAATTCATTAGATCTAAGTTAATGGCTCAAACATATTTTAAATCCCGTTATCACCAATCCCCATTTAGCTTTGTATGATACTGTATGAAAAATTTGTTTCCCATTGTCATTCATTAAGAATTTCATTACCCAAGCCAAAATTGTTTATGGTCTTCCATTGAGGGACTAATATGATCTTGATGGTAACCATTAATAATTCAATCATAAACCAATAACCATTATATTTTGGATGGTAATCAATATAAGTAACCATCACTCCAATGTAGGAATTCGGACTGATTTATGATGGTCCAACTAAAGAATAGCAATTTGTTTTAATGATTTGTTCATGTGAAACCATCAGAAATTTCCATCATAGTTTCTTAGAAAACAAGTGGGGGTACGGTCAGATTCAGATACGGTCAGACAATTCGGACTGATTTATGATGGGCCAACATTAAAAAAAATTATTTTGATGGTATATTTCAGAGATCCAACAAGAATTACTATTAAACCATAATGGAAATGTATAGTTGGAACTATCATGGATGATCTCGGATCCTCATGGGTTGTTGGTCCATGAGAATCAAACTTCTTTTGGTGGTTAAACAACATAGTATTAAAATAGCAGTTTCCATCATGGAATGATGGAAGTTTGTTGGTACATCAAGAACCGTGAGCGAACACATAAGGGAAAATGATGGACCATCAAATGATGTTGAAAAATGTTGGTGACCATCAAATGAGGTTGGACCATCATGAATCGCACTGAAACCGACATATACCATCAAAATGATTTGATAGGACCATCAAGAATTTTGACTTGGGTACTTTTAAATATATTTAATTATCATTGTATATAATATTTCGAATATAGGAAATCATTAGATCTACGTTAATAACTCTGACATTTTAGGTCCTGATATAATTAATTCCTACTTAGCTTTTAAAGGCGTTTAAAACATTTTAATGGGCGCCCATTACAAACACAGCATTGATTATTGTAGGTTTAATTAAAATGCAATGCGTCTTTTGTTAGTGAATTAAAAAGATTTTCTTTTCTATTCATAAAAATCAATTGAAAATACCTTTTTCGCATCAAAACTAGATACATTTATTTGTTTATACAATAGCATATTTTCCACGGGTATTGTCATTTCTGAGATGCGTACAGTTTAAAAACTTAAAAAGTATAAAATAATTTATTGACGGTCTCAAAGAGTTCGATTTATTTCTTTAATGCATCCAATATTCCGCAAGTTGGCAACGTGATTAGTTGTATTAAATATTATGATACATAAAATTGAATATGGTATAAAATTTTAATAATGTTATAATTTTGTATTGTTTTTTTTTATCAATTGACGATATATAGGAGTTATGGATTCGTCAGAATTATGGATATTTAGAAACTCGATTATTTTTCGAATGTATTCAGTATCCTAAAAGTTGATAACGTGGTAGCCAACTCAACGTTATAATTGAAACTGCTTATATTTTAAAAATTTCAACATATTATAGTATATATTGTTGTTTTCTTATAGTATATTTAATAAGAGTATTATCGATTTCAAGAAATTCTAGATCTCTAAGAGTCCGATTATTTCTCTAATGCCTTCAGTAAGTTGGTAACGTCGTTAGATATATCAAGAAAATTAAAATTGAAAATGGTTTTGAAATTTTATAACAAAATAAGACGCATTATTCTTTCATTAGTTGAAATTATCTAGGAGTTCAATAAGTTTTCTATTGCATTCAACGCCCAGCAAGTTGGCAGCATGATTAGTTATCTCAATATCGAGATAAGATGGACATTGTAATGCTAAAAAATAAAGCATGTTTCTCCCAAAATATATTTCCCGAAATAAAAAATCTCTAAAACACTTTAAATTTTTGTTTAATGTTATTTTCATTTTATTTCGCCTATGCTTAATTTTTCCAGTTAAATTGAATTTTAAAACATTTAAAGGAAAGATTCATAGTATCGGCGTTATAATAGTAGTTTTATTTCCATTTCTAATCATGGGCTATTCAAGTATTTCAATCCTTTTAAACAGTACGGTTTCTCCACAAAATGTCAGCCATATAGTATCTACAGTAACACTTCTCATATTTCGTTTTGTATTTTTATTGCGATTTAATCGGCTGTTAATAATTTGTAAACGATTAATGATCTATAATAACGTTAGAGACATAAATGTGGATCTGAAATTTGTGCTATTAATGGTATTTTGGATAATAAAAAACTTTTTACTCAATTTAACAACAGCAATGTACGGTTTAGAAGTTAAAACCATACATAATGTTTCCAAACTTCTTATTTTTGATGTTGAATTTGAGAACAATGCATACTACACTATTGTTGGGATTGTGTTTAGTCTTGGAATAACCATGTATCTCATAATGTCTTTAAATGTATTTGCCATATACTATACTACTGTTTGTTACCAACTTCGCAAATTATTCATCCATTGTAAGACTGGTTTTCGTTCTCAAAACTTCATTAGAAATAAAAAGGCTTTGCACCAATATATAACTGCCATTTTATTGGTTGAGGATATTGACAATAAACTGTCATTCTTCTTGTTTGCTCTAGTTTTCTTCGACGCATCTGTCATTTATTGTTTTGTGACAGCAGTTCTTCATCCGCATGTTTACTACAATTTCGCTCAGAACATTGTAATGCTGTGTATATTTATGAATCAGATCCCCGCGTTTATTGCTATGACTGCATCTGCTTCATTTGTGGCAGAAGCAGCTCGAAGTGCATACAGTTCGATTTGTACATCGTCAATAGATCAACGCTCGTGCGTGAATCAACACTCGTTAGAATTTCTTATTAAAGATAAAAGCAATCTGACTGCTTGGAAAATGATACCGATACGCCGAAGCTTTGCTTTAAGCACAATGGGTGCAATTTTAACTTATGTCCTTTTAATTGATAACTTAAAACTTTACAAAAACTTGTAACATTGCTTTGATAAAGTTCGAAAAAAAATTAGACATTTTAATTTGTACATCGTTGATAGATCATCGATCTCATATGAATCAACACTCGCTTGAATTCTTACCTATATTAATAAAAAGAAGAATTTGTCTATGTGGTCTTTCTTATAACTCCAATGGGGTGATGGAAGAAAGGGGCAATTATAGCCCCCGAACCTAGAAGCAGTTCAAAATTTCAATTATCTTATTCTATAAAAATGGCATAGGCTTAGCACGTTCTTTACACTGGGGAATAAGTTGTCACTACACTTACCTGTCCACTTGAAATTCATCAATGATTAACCATTTACAGATGCAACCAATAGGAATTCGTTTCTATCGGGATAGGAATACGAATTGTCCTATAGGAACAGTGCAAACGGAAATTGATTGAAAGAAAGAGCAGAGATCTAGTTTAGCCTCTGACTTCGACAGCTCTATTTTTTTCTTTTTGTTTCTTGTTGCATGAGCTTTTTGAACGGATCTTAGATATTCTCATGTTTCCAATTTCACATCCGCAATCGATTTACCTATACAAGCTGCCGTTTTTATGTAATTTAATAATACGTTCCCTACTAGGATTTTTACAAATTTCCTGGAGTGAATACCATGTGTTCCCACTTCTCTGTCAAGTATGGCGGGGTAGAAAGAAGGCGAATAGAGTTATTTTCAAAAGAACAGACAAGTACATATGTAAAAAATCGAAACGTTCTTTGCAAACTTGTACATTCGAAAAAAAGTAAATTAAACTAAAAATATTATTTTGAAAAAAATCTATAGATTTCGGAACAAAACTAATTTCAGAGTTAATATCCCCGCAACTGTATTAGGTAAGATCAAGTACTTGTATAAATACAGCCAAAAATTTATTCAGTAGTATTATTAATTTTTGATTCATTATATCACGTCATATAACAGTGAGATGACATCAACGAACTAGTACTTAAAAAAAAACTATCTGACACCATGTCATTATTTTCTATATTGACCGATTTTAAAACGTGTTTCTATAAGCTTAAATCAAGAAAAATCAACGGCAATCGAAATAAATAAAAAAAAAAAAACTAAGTTATTTACTATACACCAATTAAATGGGCATTTGCTACTCCAGAAGAAGAATTTCGTTAAAATCATCACTCGGTTGTGCCTAATCACGTGGTTGAGCTTGGCAGTTTAACATTATAGCTATAAAGCTGATTTATTATCAGTTTCCGGATCAGGTCTAATTGGATACTTGTAAGCGACATCATGCACTTGTGTCTAACTTGATTGGCTGCTAAATCATGGCATAAACAAACGCTTTGATTTACCCGCATGTGACGTCGCTGGCAGGTGTCAGATTGTTGCAAATTTAGACTATCAAGCGCTGGTGACCAATATATCAATGCGCTATAAATAACCAATAGCAATATTTGGATGACGAATAATACCGTGTATTGTTAATCTTTATTTTGAAGTGTTGAACACGTGACGTGACGTCATTGGCAGGTATCAAACTGTTGCAAACTCAGACTATCAAGTATTGGCGACCAATACATCAATACATTATTAATAGCCAATAGCAATATTTGTGTGATGAATAATACCGAGTATAGTTAATCTTTATTTTGAAATTTTCTATATTTGAAACATATTCTGCTAATATTTAATAACGCTTTCTTATACTTAAAAAATTGTAATTGAAACAGATTGTATTCGAATGCTAATATTTGCGTTTTCTGTAGTAGAACTTTCCAACAATAGAGAAACTTGTATTTCACTTTTTATTTTTAGTTTAATAAATTCAATTAAAAAAAATTACTACCATCGGCAATATAAAGAATTCAAACGCATGCATGAAATAGTTAATTATCAAAAATTGTTGTTTTTAATGTGGCAAAGTGTTGCTGGTATAGTAAAAATAATTTTGCTTACTCATTTAATGTACTTAATCATTTTCCTTTAAACTTGGAAAAATCCTTCCCGAATCTGACATTTTTGCGAATGTATCCAAGGAAGAAAGTTCGAAGTCACTTTTCGGGGGAAGGGGTTAAAAAAATTATCTTGACTACTTAAAAAAATGAAATCTTACAGAATGTGGCAAAATCAGACAGTCGAAATGCTTCTGTATGTCTTTTGTTTTAAGAAAATAATTGTATTTTTGCCCCTCATAATTTGTAAATATTAGAATCGATAATGAATTGCACCTGTTGTGTCTTTTTCGGGAGTCAATCCCCACCTGTTAAAGAAATACAACAATATATGGAGAGGTCTCAGAATCGAAGGGCCATTTTAAAAATGGTTCTGGTTTCTGAATGTTCAAAGAATTGCCCTAAATAGGCTTCGTTTCGATCACATGGGAACAGTGTGGAAGTTTAGTGTTTAGTACACAGTACGTAAAATAAGAAAAGTGAACACTCTGAATAACTTTTGATCTAATAACCGGATTTTCACATACTAAGACTTATTCAGAATGGTCTGAGAACCTTATCTTAAATATGCTAGTTTATTAGAGCAGACCAAATTTTAAGTTAGGAATTTAGACACAAAAACGTACTTTATTTGAAGTAATGTACCTTTTTTTCGATCGATTTGAATTCTCGACTCCTGAAATATAGGGTAGGGGGACAGCAATCTGGTAAGTATGTTCCCAACAGTTTGGTCGGGAGAGCGGTGAAAGCCTGGACCCCTTATATGTTAATGTGATGTTTTGCATTTTTGGTCGTATCCTAAAATATTTTTACTACCTAATCTTTTGAATATCTAATAGAAAAATTATTGCACACAATATTAAAGCTCGTTTATCCAAAAGGATTTTATGCGAAAAACAATTTTTAATAATTTTTTATTTTATTTTCTTGCCTAATAATAGTCGAAACTTTTTTAAATTTTAAGGTATAAAAATGTTTGCATAATTTTAAAGAATTTAATTACAAGTAAAAAATACAAATTTGAACGAAATCGGCCGAAAGTTCTTGAGAAATTAAAGTTTAAAACTATACCACGTTCTAAAAATTTGATTTCTCCAGAACTATTCGACCGATTTCTTTTTATACTTCAATTACTTTTCGATTCAGTCAAAAAGTTTTGAAGGTATTGCGAACTGCGCAAAAAGTAAAACTTACCAAAAGGGATCTAAACTTTCGATTTCTCTTCTGCCTAAACTATCGGAACCATATTGTCCAGTTTGCAGATACCCCCTTCTCATATTTTGAGGGCAATAATCCAAATCCCTCAACAACAAAAAAACTTTATGTCTATTCAGTGTAGATAGCAGCGTCGGTAAAAATTCATTTAATTTTGAATTGCAGAATGACAACGAATTCAGGAATGCCACATAATCTTTACAACATAATCCACGTGAAATGTAGCCGGCCGCTGTTTTGTAATATGTAGTTGCAGAAGTTACTGAAGTTTCTGGAAATAAAGCAAGAGAACAGAAAGGAAACACAAAGTCCTTCACCGTCAAAGTAGAAGACATACGTATTGCTCTTTAATTGGATGATTTTGCGACACTCAATTTTTGTATGATCAGACAGCCTGATGCATAGCAGTTAAGTTACTGATCTAGTTCATCCTTGATTAAGAGACATCAATTTCGAAGATCTAGTTCAGCTTATACAATCTGTGTTTAATGTTTTTAATACAATCCTCGTGAAATGATATAAAAAGCAGTTTTATTGAACATTCCAATTTTAAAATAAAATCAAAAACAAAATGGTTGCAAGAATCGTCTAAATTCAATCTGCAATGTGATCAACAAAGTCTAAATACCTCTTATCGATTGTTCCGGTATTATGCCACCAAAAAAGAAATCAGTGAAAAAAACAACAAAACGAAAACGTTCTGGTAGCAGTTCCGGTAAAAATCCATTTCATTTTGATTTACAGAAGATCCACAACAAAATTCAATCGAATTTCGAAGGAGAAATCGATCCCAAAGCTACCATTTATCTGACGGCTGTCTTGCAGTATGTAGCTGCAGAAGTTATAGAAGTTTCTGGAAATAAAGCAAGAGAAAAGAAAGGCGGAAAAAAGTCGTTCGTTATTAAAGAAGAGGACGTACGTACTGCACTTCAGTCGGATGAGGATTTAAAAAAGCTAATGGAAGAGTTTTCTGCCAAAAAATGAATTACATCTGGAATATAGTCACTAATAATATAACAGGAACGAATTTACCACACTCTACCAGTCGATTTCGGAATTTCAAAATGTCGTATTGTTCCAAAATTATCTTAATAAAGTAAACTGTTATTCATTAATAACAATGAAATGACTTAAATGTAGGGTTGCCAACTTTCTAAGCTTTTTGGGAAAATTTGTTTCAAAGGTAGCTAAATTCTTTGTTTTGTAAATTTAATTTAAAGTTACTTTCCACACTATTACATGTAAATCATTCAAAAGTACACATGAAAAACCACTTTGTTCCAGTTCTTTAATGGTGAAGCTTTAAAAATGTTGGTCAAATTACCAAAAGTTCTAAAAGCTCCGGTTTTATTTTATTTACCTTTTTGTCTAGTCTTTTTTTAATTGTCTGCCATCATTCTAATGAAATATTTTGAAAAAGACGTAGTCTTTTTTGGCAGCCCAGCTTATATGTATTTCAATTATAACGGTATTTTTAGATTTTTCAATATATATATATATATATTATGGGGGAAATATTTTCACACTTGATATGCTGACAGTTTTATAGCATTTTTGAAAATTATCTCAGCATTAATACAAAAAACAATGGGGATAAAGCACAAATGAAAGTACATAAAGATATATATTACTGTTTCAGTTCTATAAACAAGAATCTTTCTTGGTGTCTAAACATCAAATGATGCAAATGTCCATTATATACAATGTACTATGTCCATTTATGTGCTTTCGTTTGTGCTTTAGTCACGTTGTATTTTGCTTTAGTCTACATAGCACAAAGTATACTCTATCCGTTGTTGGATAACTCAGCATTATTTACCCTCTCAGCATTATTAAAAAAAATATTTAAGAAATCGTAAGATATTTTTGAAAGCTGTGTTCAAAGTTTTAATAAATTATATTATTTGATCTAATACATCCTTTTAAAAAGAACTTAATTTGTGATGAAAATTTAGCTTTTCATTCTTTTTTGCTTAACATCAGCTTTAAAAATATTTGCTTTTAAGAAGAAAATAAGTTACTTTAGTACAACTGTTTCTGTTTAAAACAGAAATCGTTGTTCACGTAATACCGCATGTATGTCTACTAGCTTGCTAAAATGCCATACATTCTGCAGAAATAAGAAACTTACAATTTTATGTTATTAAAAAGCATACAGCAAATTTTTTTCGCAATAGTTTCTACAAATTTAGCTCTCTGAAAACTAGTTTTTCACAAAATTTGAAATCATGAATTTTTCTTTAGAAGTTTCAGGAAGTGAAAATGCTTTTATCTTTTCTTTTTTTTTTGTATTTTTGCTGCTAGCTTTTTGACTCACTTATTCTTAGTATATCTTAACCTTTCTTAATATATCACTCTTTAATTCTTAATATATCTTAACTTCTATATCTGCTTTCAATATACCGCTTAACTTTTTTTAAAATCAGTTTTCAAAAATTTCTCCTCTCTACTAATAGAAATAGTAAGATTTGCTGTTATTGGTGGAAGTGTTTTTACTACCCCAATCAATTGAGTTGGATTTTTCAAATCAATCGCGTCATGTTGATTAACCTTATGCTTACGGCTTATATAACAGGTGGACCAGAATGGAGAGCTTTATCACACTACGCGCAGTAAGCCAAAGGCTAATATAAAAATACGTATCAGAAAAATATTGGCTCAGGAACATCTGAGTAATACCTGAACATTAAACAAATCAGAAATCCAAATTTTCAACATTTTCTGCTGTCCAGAATGTTCAGATGTTTATCATCTTCAAATATTCAGCATCTGCAGATGATTCAAAAATCTGAACACATTGAAAACATGAAAATTATTTTACTGTGTTGAATTCGTGTGTTACTATTTTGTTAAGCTGTTATAAAAAGGACACAACTTTGGAGCTCTTCTGCGCGAGTTAATTATATACTTTAGTCGCAGATTTCGTTAACTTAAACTTTACAGTTTTAATTCAGAAAGAAAGATATTGAAATATTTACAACTTTAAAGAAAATGACAGCTAAAGAGTTTTAGGTTTCAGATCCTAACCGTACCATTAGTTTAAAATTTAGACACATAAATGTCATTCTATGAATTTTGAGAAATTACGAAATGACTAAGAGACAATACAAGTAGCTAAGCTAAGAGACAATAACTAATTATTAAAAATATTCAAACTACTTGCTAAAAACACATCCAATTTTGTTTTATTCCTAAAATTCTACCTTCATCTGAAGCTGTCCCGTAGTGGACTCCCAGCATATCACCGAAGTCAAGCATCACTGGCTGCGGTCAGTGTGTGGGTGACTACTAGGATCAGTCTGCCTAGGAACCGACGGTGTGCTGTATTGGTCCTCGTTAAACTGTTCTACCGTAAAGTGCTCGACTTCGCGCGCAAGTCGTCTGGCTACCGAAGCAGGGGTGCCATTAGCTCTGCAGAGGATCAAAATTGTGATGACATGTCTTAGGATCATCCTCAGGGATGCTTCCCAGATCGCCCATTGGGCAGCTGTAGTATGACGTAAATGAACAACAATTCATCTGAAACTTTTAATGTTAAAATTAAAATTTAATTGTCGCTCGTAGAACTCACTAACACGGCCGAACAGTTTTGAAAGAAGAACGATGGAAGCTAACGAATTGTTTTAGAACATCTGTTACTTTAGGGAATCATTGACTTACTGTAACCATTTAAATTTTTCGCTGTTATAAAAATTGAGTTTCATTTCTTAGATTAAATACTTCGATCAATAAAACGAAAAAAGCACGAATACAAAAAGAAGAAGGGAAAAAAACGTACAGTGCAATAAAAAAATGGACCACCCTGAATAACTTTCGATCAAATCTTCACATTCTAGAACTCAATCTTGATGGTTAAAATTGGTGACCTCAAATATGCTCATTAATAAGAACAGACGATATTTTAAGCAACGAAATAAGACACCAAAACATACTTTCCCTGAAAGAACATACCTTTTTTTCGACGGATTTGGATTTCTGATCCTCAAAATATAGAGGGTAGCCACAATTTGGAGAATATGATCCTAATAGTTAGGTCAGGAAAGCGGTCCAAAGTTTGAATCCTTTAATGTTAGGCTCAGTTACCCATGACGTAATCGCAGTATAATTTAATATCAGTTACTTAGATTCGAATAAAAATTACCACAAAACTGTGCAAAATGTGAATACTGTCTTCGTTATTTATCAAAATTTTAATTATTCAAAGAAATATCTGTTTAATTGCATTTGTTAATAACACGTGTATGCAGAGAGCGATTGAAAACTAAATCTAAAATCTGTCGCTAAAATACTATCCAATACACAGCATGTCCCTGTTCACATGTAGTGATGTCATTTTGAACCAATAGCGTGATCGGGATCATTTGGAATTTAATCGCTCGTGTAAAAATGGAGTCAGAATACTTTAATTTTAGTTAAGTAGTAGTTTTTAGTAGAGAACGACAGAATATTGCTACTAGCATAAGCTTATTCAATTATGACCTGAGAACACAGGACATCACAGATTCGACGAATCAGTAAGCTGAACTACCCAGCGCCAAACACTGAACTACCCAAAATATCCAGCATCCAGATGGAATATTGCACTTTCTGGTAGAGTTTCTTAACAGTCAACATTACGTAAGGAATCATCTTATCATACAATCGTCAACATACAAATGGTGTCGCCATGATGTTAATCGTCAACATACGAAGTTAACACACATTAGAGAGTAACGCCTACTTTAATCTTCCATGCTTTATCGTGCAGTGCGGACCAGCTTGCATTTGGTAATTACGATCCTAAGTTAAACGGCGATCAACGTGAATAAAATTTAATTTTCAAATAAATAATGTCCACTAGGTTAAAATCTAATAAAATAATAAAACATTTTTGTAAATTAAATGTACGATGTCTTTTTCTTTTTAAATCACTGAAGAGTTACTTTAAAATTTTATTTTTTATCTACCAGTATTTAACTATTTAAAATTTCATAATGTTTCCTAAAATTATACAGCGATAGCACACAAAGTAAGCACCCTCGTGGATGATTCATTTTCAAAGCTTTCTGCGCAGCTTACTGACTGAGCGTGGAAGGCATGATTGTTATTGAAATAAAGTGCTTCTGCTTGGTTCATTTAATTATTTCTTCCCCCGCTGCTTTGACCTTAGAGGAGATATTAGGGTAGAGAGAGCCAGTCAATTGATGGGGGTTTCCTTTTTGGCGAAAAATTTATAGCTGGCGGTCGCATCGTACAGGAATATTTTCAAGAGTACCTAAAGATTTTTTCTCTCTTTCATTTTATTTTGAAATTCGTCATTCCCAATTTTATTCGTGATTGTAAAAGATAAGCTTTCAAATAAAAATACATTATAGTATGTGTGCTACATTTAATTATTTGCTTTTAATTGCTTAATCATAAAAAGCTAATAAGATATTATTTAAGTATGACTTTGCCAGACATAGTCATTACTTTATAATCTGTAAATTTTAGTAAGGAAAAAGAAATAAAATGTAATTTGCAAAGTTAGGAAATACATCTAATTTTTAAAAATACTTCATGTCCTTTTTATATTACATTCTGACATGAATTATAAAATATGTTATCAGCGATAATAATTTATTTCAACCAATGCATACAATTAAAATTTTAGTGAGTTAACATAACATGATGAAAGTATTTAAATTAAAAAAACAAATTTTGTTAGCATAACATGAAGAAAGTATTTAAATTAAAATAGCAAATTTTTGTCTTGTTATTTGTCCCATTATCTTATTTTTAAAAAAAAGTATTGCGAAATTCCATGTAAGAACATACTGTCTACCAGTTGTTTGAAACATTGATAGCTCTCGACAGCTACTTGTAATTTTATATTAAAAAAATTAATTGATATTCAAAAAAAGAATTATTTCCTTTTTATTTCTCGAAATCAAAATTAAATACATATAATGATAATAATAAATAGCCACACCTTTTATAATCCTATAACAATTAGTTAATAATAG